TGGCACATCTCTTGATGTGCAGAAAAGGTCTGAGTGCGGGTGGTTGAAGGGCGCCACTGTTACGCCCTACTTCTTTACTTTCCCCATGTTTTCTCTGTCTGTCTGTCTTACTTTTTCTCTCACCACTAAATGACCATTATTAATAATTGTGTCGATGTTCTTCTGTTTACTCAAACAAACAAACAAACGAAAGGTCTGAGTTAATTTTTGGTAATGTGCCTCGGGTTTCTATGATTCGATCATGCAAAGCCGACTTGTCGGGCTCAAGTACACTCCACTATTCTGGTTAATTCCTCTCCCCTTCATTATATCATCAGCTGTTCTGTGCCTGGAAAGGCGGTGGCCCCCAAAGAGCAAATTATGTTCTGCACTTGGTAATTATACGCCCAGGCGCATTCGCTCATGCTGCCTACCCACACTCACATAATTTAATTGCACATATAATTAAAGCCGGCATCATAAGTATGTTTACAGTTGTTGTAAGTATGTAAATAAGCCGGCGGTAATGAAGTAACGGGGTCGATGGAGAGTGCGATCATGTGGTATAAGTAGTGTCTACTGCACTAATTGTTTGTGTCGTTGGTGCCCTTTTATCGCGTTTGCCCTAGGCGCTCTACACACATTGCTTCTTCTTTCCTTTCAAATAACTATCGTCCGTATTATACTTCTTGCATACTTTCGGAACCTTCGGTGACACTGTAAAGACAACTCCACTCATCCAGGGAGCGGAACAGAGGGTGCCCACCTCGTGACTCGAAAGAGCTGAGGAATGTAGGACTAACATGATCTAAACAATTAACTACTAACCAGTTGTTGTAACCATCTCCAGCTGGCGCTATGGCAGCACTTAGATGTATAACTTACAAATAAACGTTATAAGAGTGAAGCAACATGTTTATTTGTTTAATTATTCATTTATTTATTGGTATGTAAAATATTCTCCTGTGTGTTTACTCTAAGACTAATAGCTTATTTCAAAATCCAAAATGGTGAACGCTTTGTTGATATTACTAAGCACAAAAGCTCCAGATGATAGGATTGGGCAGGGTAAAAAAAAAAGCAACCAACATAATTATCTTCTCCTTCTTTTCTTTGTATGTTACTTTCAAGTTACACCTCTGATCTTCGGCACTTGTATGACCAAATTGTGTTGCAAGTGCTGTAAAACTCTTAGTAAAGAAGGTAAAACCTTCACACATTTTCTGCGAGTGCTCTGGTGTGGTTTTTTCTTCTTTCCTATCAATCATCTATCGTCCTGATGTGGCGTCCCTTTTTGTGTTTGCTACTCTCTTGTAACACCTCAAACCTTTGTCACTTATGCCATTATTTTGTTGCAAGTGCTGTAAAGCTCTTGTACTGAAACGAAAACCTCCACATTTTTTCTCTGATGGAAACAAAGCGCGTTGTGCTGAAGCATAGATCTTCAAGACGAGTGCATATTTAACGGGGCAGGGCGTCGTTGACTTGGGGGACATTTTAGCGTTAGGGTACTCAAGG